CTGGTTCTGGCTATGGTCAGGTAAGTAGAGTTCCTGAACAGGAACTGTATATTAAATTAATACTATATTACAAGCAATAACATAATGCATTACAGGAACTGAGATCAAGATGTAGAATGGCAACCAACAGGTATAAATTGGTATCGTTCTTACAGTACAAGTTACCAGATCCAAAGATCGCTGTCATCCCAGAAAGACCTCCAAATACTTCATTGTATTTGGCTCAGATACATATCATATTTTGCATGTTTAACAAAGCCTCAGGAAACTTGCAGTAAGACTTTTGTTAATAGCTAGGAGCACCCCACTGAGCTAGAAAAAGCTGCTGGAAATTAATTGTCCCTGAAAACAATTACCTTACGCTGTATATAAAAAAGACAGTGTTAGCAGTGGGACGAACAGGAGCGCTGCACACTACTACCCGTGCAATTGCTTGTGTTTGGCAAACAATGGCACCAATACTCATTCTTGCCAGTGTTTTCACTTTCTATAAATAAACAGGTAAAAGGTGATTTTAACAAAGTAACAGTAACTGTTAATTTTAGGGGATTTGTTTGTTGAATTCAAGTATTTGTAGATATTTATTCTGGAGTGTCACTCCTACATCCAAGCATTCTTTTTTTGAAGTTGCCTTGTCAGAATTAAAGAAATAGCTAATAAAAATAAAGACTGATCTTCAGGGAATAGAATTACAATTGGTATGTTAAAGCTAAGCAGTCAACAACAAAGGAGAAAGAACAGAGGGAAAAGGAAATGTCCCTTGTTAAATGCTTACTTTTTTTGGTGAAAACTGCCTTATAAATGACAATATAATACTAGTGTTCCTTATATAAGGTCAGTGTTCTGCATAAAGTCTCCCATAGAGACTTATATTTCTTGGCACAGAAAGTTTGATTATATAAATTTCATATAGGAAATGCAAAGTGCCATAATGTGGGACTTTGATCAATGATGCTATCCTGATTTATAATTGGGGTTTTTTTTAACTGTGATGTGCACAAAGCACTAATTTAAAAGCTCATTTTAGTTGCAACCTACCTCTTCCTTTTAATAACAAGAAGGTAATCTGACTACATTTTTTCAGTCATCCTTGTGTCACGTATTAGATAATCTCCTTATAGTTTAAAACTAAAAATGCTAATGGATTGGGGAAATGGGTTTCTGCTTTCACCCAGCATATCTGTCTTTTTTATGCTTGTCTTTTGAATCATTTATCTAAATAATAACCTTTAGTACCCACTCCTTCCTTCCAATGAACTAAAAGATATTAAAGTCAGTGAATACATATATTCTCCCTACTCTTGTTTTGCCAGCTGAGGTTACCACTTTCAGCAGCTGCTTTTTGGGGGGAGTGGGGAGCTACAGACATCCCCTTGCAGAACTACTCATATGGTTACTTCCTAATTTGTCTCAACCAAAACAGCCTAAGTTAGCTTAAACTAACTGTAGATCTCTTTTAATGAGTATCACCAGCCAGACTGAAAGGGCATTGATCTCAGTGGCTAAAAGAAAGCAATTATATGAAAAACTCAGCAAACAGCTTTCAGTCAGCAAATCTGTGGGACATCCTCAGAAAAAAGGCAGTAATAAGCCCCCTCAAGGAAAGCTGCTATGGATGGTAGCTTCTTCAGCAGTCAAACCTGGAGATACAGGAGGATATATTTGCATAGCCTTTGTCTCAGGATGATGGAAGATAACACATTTTGTACAACAGCAGCATGGAGAAGATAAATGGCCAGCCCAAGGTCAGGTACGAAGATTGTGGAAATTGTGGGAGTGAGTGCCAGGACAAAGATTTTTCTAGACTATTTGTGTAGTTCTGTTTTCATCATGCTTGACTTAAGCTGTATAAGGACCAAGCTTTCAGAAATTGCTTAGCACATACCCTCTGGGGAAAAAAAAAAAAAAAAAACAAAACAACAAAAAAACCCATACCAACAAGTTTCTGAGCAACAGGGATGTATCTTTAAAACACTAAGGAAATCACTTTCCTTGCCTACCAATACCTTCTCAAATAGATGGAACTGAAGCACATTTGAAGAGCCAACAACTTTGTACTGCCTTGAGACTTTGGAAAATGTTTTCCAGAGGAAAAGTATCCTTCCACAGATGATCTCTCCCAGCAGACCAAATTTCAATTCTGCTGATCCCAGCAGTGACAGTATGACATGGGGGGGAAACAACACCTCAAGTAGATGGATGCCGTGCTAGAGACTCACAGCAGAGTCTTCAAGTAACTTGCACTGTTCTGAGGCTCTCACTGCTTAGAATAAATTCATTCTGGCACAAAGCTTTCAGTCTGCATAGTCAAAAAAGGCTTTGGATGTAAAGCGATATTCTTACATCAATCAGGCTATTTTCTCCATTGATAAGAACAAAGAATGACCCTATGAGCTCAGTCTAAAAGTCTTTCTGGTGCTGCTTTGGTATTTCCTGTGGTGATAAATAGCACAATATTCTCAACAGCTGCAAATTACAAGAGAGCCAGAATCTACCTATGTGTATTATGTAGTCACTAAATCACATTTTCATGGTATGTGGGAGGTGACCAGAAGACAATAGCAGACAGACAGCTAAAGGAATTGTATTCCACTCATTCTGTTGGGGGGGGGGGGGGGGGGGGGAGGAGATGT